ATGCTTCTTGTTTTATTTAATATTTTGCCCATAGAATCCTTTAATATTGCCACTTGAGGCTTGAATTTTTTCTTCAGTTCTTCCAGCTTGAAAAATGCTAAGCATTTTTTTTCTTTTGGTTTTCTAACTCCAGGTCTTTGCATATTTCGTAATACTTCACTCTGTCTTCTTGAGCCACCATTTGAAATCTTCTGTTCAGCTCTTCTACTTCATCATTTTTCTGTTCATTTTAGCTACTCACCATTCAAGAGCAAGTTTTAAATTCTCTAACATCCATTTTGGTCGTTTCTTTCTGTCGTGCCTTTTTAATGACTTTTTGCTTTATGTATGATGTCCTTCCATACAACTCATCTGGTCTTCGGTCATTGGTATTCAGTGTGTCAAATCTGTTCTTGAGATAGTTTCTAAATTCAGGTGTGATATATTCAGGGTTATACTTTGGCTCCTATAGACTTGTTTTAATTTTCTTCAGCTTTGACTTAAACTTGCGTATGAGCAGTTGATTGATCTGCAGTCATCCCCTAGCCTTATTCTAATTGATATTAAGCTTCTCCATCATCTCTGTCCACAGATTTAAAAAAAAAAAAAAAAAAAAAACTTATTGCCATTAAGTTGTTTCTGACTCATAGTGACCCCCATTGGGTTTCCAAGGCTGTAAGTCTTTACAGAAGTAGATCTCCTCATCCACAGATGTAGTTCATTTTATTTCTGTGTATTTCATCTGGTGAATTCCATGTGAATAGTTGCTGTTTATGTTGTTGAAGAAAGGTATTTGTAATGAATAGGTCATTGGACTTGCAAAATTCTGTCATGCGATCTCCATCTCATTTCTGTCACCAAGGCTGTATTTTCCAACTACTGATGATTCTTCTTTGTTTCCAACTTTTGCATTCCATTCACTAGTAATAATCAATGCATCTTTATTGCATGTTTGGTCAATTTCAGACTGCAGAAGTTTGTAAAACTCTTTCATTTCTTCATCTTTGACATTAGTGTTTGGTGCATAAATTTGAATAATACCTGTATTAACTGGTCACATGTGTAAGTGAATGGATGTTATCCTATCACCGACAGCATTGTACTTGAGGCTAGATCTTGAAATGTTCTTTTAGACAATGAATGTGATGCCATGCCTCTTCAATTTGTCATTCCTGGCATAGTAGACCATGTTGTTGTTGTTGTTGTTGTTGTTATATGCTGTCGAGTTGGACTCAACTCATAGTGACCCCTCCTTGGGTTTCCAAGGCAGTATCACTGTGGAAGTAGATTGCCCAACCTTCCTTCTGAAGAGTGACTGGTGAGTTTGAACTGCCAGCCTTCTGGTTAGCAGTCAAGTGCCTTCGGCACTACACCACCAGAGCTCCCCCAAGTAGACCATATGATTATCCAATTCATAATGGCCAGTACCACTCCTTTTCAGCTTACTCATTCCTATGATATATCTTCAAGCATCATATTTCATTTTTGACCACTCCCAGTTTTCCTAGAGTGATACTTCATACATTCCATGTTCCAGTTATTGATGAATGTTTGCAGCTGTTTATTCTCATAAATAGCATATATTGCCATAGCAGCCAGTGAAGGTCTTGAAAGCTTTACTCCATCTAGCTCTTCCCCAGTTGTGTTTTGAGTGCCTTCCAACCTGAGGGCTCATGTTCCAGTAGTGTATCAGACGATGTTCCACTGTTTTTCATAAGGCTTACTAGCCAAATTTTTAGAAGTAGACTGTGAAGGGTTTCTTCCTAGTCTTTGTCTGGAAGCTCCATGGAAACATGTCCACCATGAGTGACCTTGCTGGTATTTGAAATAACAGTGGCATAGCTTTCAACCTCAGAGCAACATACAAGCCACCACAGATGAGTGGTGGCGTAATGACTTAGAGTTTGAAAAATACTGACTTAATTATGAAACTAGCTCACCTAGTACTTCTACTAAGAAGTATCAAGAGTAATGAATTTTTATACTGATAAGCATTAAGAAACAGGTGGTTTCTGTTTTCTCACATATAGCATTCTTTGTTATGTATGTATTGGAGAGGAAGAATTCAATTTCAATAAAAACAAGTAGGGAAGAAGCCTCTAAGAATAGTCAATCAATGAGGAAGAGATCTTGTAATTTATTAAGATAAGAGCACTGGGGCTTTGTGTTTTACCAAAAAAGAACAAAATCCTAATTTGAGCCCATGTTTGTAGCATATAGGAACCAGAAGCCTGAATATCCTTGGAAATCAAGCCGATGAGTAGTCAGAGAAGCTGTGTCTTAATGGATCCTAAAGGGATTCAGCTCTGAGGAGGTTGTTGCATAAGTTCAAAGTATTGAGGCCAGAATTGCTCACCCAGAAACACAAAAAGAAGTAAACAAATTAAGGAAACTGAAAACCAACATTTATATATTATGTATTGTTCTCTCTGCCCTTTCCCTTTTTCCCTACAAAAGGAGGTGATTTCTTACCATCTTCTAATATTACTATTGCTATGAGTAGAGATTCTGACCCCAACTGCCTCTTCCTTTCCTCATTGGAATGACTGTTATCAGTTATATTAAATTAGAAATGAAGAACAATTACCAAATTCACTGATTCATTCAACCAGTATTTATGCCTTTTATATATGAGGTGATGTTCCAGGTGCTAGAGATACAGTGAACCAACAAAATCTTGTCTTCATGGATCTTATGTTCTAGTGCACATGAACATAAGCACTAAGGAAAAGATTTTTGTGTTTCTAAGAGTTATTATACCCATTTTTTATCATTAATATCAATTCAATTAAGATTTAATAAGTAGTTATCACTTACTAAGTGTATTAGGAGTATACAGAGGAAATAGTCTCCACCTTTCAGTCTAGTATGGAATATAAATGAGAAATCCTTGGCAGTGAGGGGTTTTAAAAGACCTTTTAATGTAACTAAACGTTGTTTAAAAGTTGTTTTTGTTCTTACACATCCTCAAAACAAATTCCTGGGACTTTAGAAAAGTTTTTTGATCTTTGGAGAAAGGGTTCATTGAGTACTTTGTTCCTCTTTCACCTCACTTCATTATTAAAGCTTAGTACAAAAAGGATTCTTACCATAGATGCTTGCTTTGTTAAAATGGGAACAAAGATTGATAATACCTGTAGAAAAGTTGAGTAGAGAAGAAGAGTATAGAATGATTAGAAATATAGATGTCAAACAGAAATAAAAGGATTTGAAATAAAAAAGTAAAAGTGAAATAGTATCTCAGTAGTTGATATTAAAGTGCAGTGTTTTTCTCAGACACACTCTCTTACTTCTTTATTACTCTTCATTGGTTGATGATTAGCAAGCTTCTAGAAAACCCAAATAATTTACTTCCCATTTTTACTTTGTATAACAACAAAATATAATAGTATACAGTTAACATTCTTGAATGGGAATAACAATAATCAGATTCTTAGCCTATATAACTTTGGTTTTATGTCAGTAGAAATGTAATTATACTTCTATATATAATGATGTATTTTAAAATATATTGTTAGCCATATTTTAAAAACTTATAAATTAAAAGATAATTAGAAAAAAGTACTTAAACTAATAATAATTTAATTTTGCTGTCTCCACAATAATATATCAGAGTGTATGGGACAGAGATCTTGCATTTATTTTGCACGTTTTCAATAACTTGACCATTCATGTTTAACCTTTAAGCCTCAAGCTGAGGAATATATCTTTAGCTTATTTTAAAATTAAGGATTTATTGTTGCTAGCCCTTGAAGCACTTACTGATGAAGATCAAACATTATGGCCTTCCCTATGGATTACATCTCAACACAAAGAAAACAAAAATCCTCACAACTAGACCAATAAGCAACATCATGATACTTAGGGAAAAGATTCAAGTTATCAAGGATTTCATTTTACTGGGATTCACAATCAACACCTATGGAAGCAGCAGTTAGAAAGTCAGACAGTGTATTGCATTGGGCAAACCTGCTGCAAAAGACCTCTTTAAGGTGTTCAAAAGCAAAGATGTCACTCTGAGGACTAAGGTGTGCATGAGCCAAGCCATGGTACTTTTAGTTGCTTCATATGTATATGAAAGCTGGACAGTGAATAAGGAAGACTGAAGGAGAGAATGATGCATTTGAATTACTATGTTGATGAAGAATATTGAATATGCCATGGACTAGCAGAAGAATGAACAAAGCTGTCATGGAAGAAGTACAGGTAGAATGATCATTAGAAGTGAGGATGGGGAGACTTAGTCTCTTGTACTTTGATCATGTTATCAAGGAGGGACCATTCCCTGGAGAAGGAAATCATTCTTGGTAAAGCAGAGGGTCAGCAAAAAAGAGGAAGACTCAAGGAGCTGGATTGATGCAGTGGCTGAAACAATGGGCTCAAACATAGCAGTGATTGTGAGGTTGTTGCAGGACTGAGCAGTACTTCATTCTGTTGTAAGTAGAGTTACTTTGAGTTGGAACTGACTCCATGGCACCCAACAAGAACAATGTATTGGGTGGAAATGCAAATTCCTAGCAGGAAGTTGAGCCAGAATGAATGGCTGTGAAGCCCTATTTTTAAACTTGTCAATAGGAATTCTTCATCTCTCATCTAGTTTAGTAGATTGCCTATTTTGCTTTCTCATCAACCAGCAGTTTTCGAATTATAAAAATATAGGTAACGGATTTGTGAGTTCAACATTTTTACATACACAATTCAGCACAACTGATTACATCAGTCATGTGCTGCCATCGTCAATATCTGTTGACAAATTTTCCATCACTATAAATAGAAACTCAGTGCTTGCTAAGCAGTGATTCCCCTTTCTCCTCCTCTCCTGCCCCTGGTAAGCATTGTTAATCTCTGATCTCTATACATTTACCTATTCTAGGTATTTCATTAAGCTAGCATTTTTAATTGGTTAAATGCTGATATACATTTGTGTGCTGGGTTTCTTGTCTTTCTTAACTTTAAAAATAAAAAAGAAGATAGCTAGATTCATATTAAGAATGACTAAATTTGAACTTTTTTTTCAACAGGTTATATCAAGCAGTGAAAAGTCTCTATTCCTTTGGCATTTTTGTGACATACTCAATTCAGTTCTATGTTCCAGCAGAGATCATTATTCCTGTTGTTGTATCCAAATTTCACACTAAATGGAAGCAAATCTGTGAATTTGGGATAAGATCCTTCTTGGTTACTGTTACTTGTAAGTATCATTGTATAGGTACATGTAATAACTAATATAAATAGTAATTGTTTTATTTTAAAATTTCTTATAATGAAACTACTTAAAAGTATATTTTCCAATATTTTAAAACCAATTTTATTTACCTAGCCAGGATACTGTTTGGTGCAAAAATCTTTTATTTTACTAAACCATCTGCCATCGAGTGAATTCTGACTCATAGTGACCCTATAGAACAAAGTGGAAGAACTGCCCCATAGGGTTTCTGAGGCTGTACATCTTTACTGAAGCAGACTGCCTTGTCTTTCTACTGCAGAGTGGCTTATAGGTTTGAACTGCTGATCTTTTTGTTAGCAGCTGAATGCTTTAACCCCTGTGCCACCACTGCTCTTTTTTAGTTTACTACTGTATATGAAAAACATAAACCAGATCCTAGCACACTTTAAAAAACCAATCAAATTATTATTTTGAAAATGACATTCCAAGAAACCAAACTCACTGCAATTGAGTTGATTATAACTCATAAGACCCTCCTTGGGTTTCTAAGGCTGTAGATGGTTTTGGAAGCAGAATGCTTCATCTTTCATCTCCCATGAAACAGCTAGTGGGTTTGAACCATTGACCTTTTGGTTAGCAGCCAAATGATATAACCATTGCACCACCAGCCATTACCAAA